AGCAGGGAGCCCGATGCGGGACTCGATCCCGGGACTCCAGGATCATGACCTGAGCTGAAGGCAGTCGCCTAACCAACTGAGCCACCCAGGCGCCCTCTCTTTGTGGTTTTGATTTGCATTTCCCTGATGATAAATGACGTTGAACACCTCACCTCTTCATTTGCTTATTGGCCACTTGTGTATCTTTTTTGGAGAGATGTCTATTCAGAATCTTTGCCATTATTTAATACTCAGTTGTAAGAATTCTTTATATAGTCTAGATAGAAGTACCTTATCTGGTATCTGATTTCATCTGTACTTATTTTATCTGTTATCTTATTTTTTGTCCTGTCCATTAGAATGTAAGCTCCCTAACAGGAGAGAGACTGTGTGTCTTTCCCCCTTCCATCTCTAGTGCATATCAGATATGAAATAAGTATGCAGGAATGGATGGCCACACCATTGTGTGCACAGTATTTCTTACACCTCCTGGCTACCACCTAGGCAAAGCAGCTCAATAGTTTCTGGTCCCACCAGCTGGGCCAGTTCCCAGTGGAAAGAAGACCAAAAATGGCCTCTACTCATCAAATTGCTCCCTAATTGTAGTGACACTGTTGGTAGCCTACCCGACATCGATTCCCATTGGTCCTCCCTCCAAACAGAACCCTTGACTTTTTCCGGCATCTACGCCGCCCCCACAGGACTCATGGGACTCCATCTCCCCCATTCTAGAAGTTGGCCCTGACTAGTCTAAGCCAAACGTGATAAACCTATACCTATAGGCTGATGAATAATGCAAGAACCCAGGTTTAACCCTGGTTTAGCTTTGCCCTTGCAATGGTTACTAGTTCACAGGTGGGCAGGTAATCTATACTGATCCAATCAGGCTGAAGAAAAACTTCCATGTCTAAGAGAGATGCGTGTTGCCTCAGCTGCGGCTGGTAACCACCTTGCAGCTAGGAGAGAGACCAGCCTAAGGGCAAAGCAAACACACAGAAAAAGGTAAGGCCAATAGAATCCCAGAAATAGTTGAAGCCCTGATCATACCATGCCTGGAGCCTACTCAGCCTCTGAACTACCTATTACCAGATATAACAAATTTCCTTATTGTTGAGGCTGGTTTGAGTGAATAATGAGCAGGGATTTTGATTCTAACTAACCAAAAGCATCATAATTGATACTCCAATAACCCTGGTATAGACAGCCCGCATTTTGAGGAACCTATGCTTGTCATGTGACAATCTCAACGATAACTCTTATTAATCATGTGACACTAAGCCTCATGCTCAATGTAGACTTCCGAAGAGGTTCCCAAATGAAGAATCCGCTATGTGATAGCCAGAGATGCCTCCCTATCCCGAGAGGCATATGGTTCAGAAGATGTAAGTTCTCTTTTCCCAAACCTGCCAAAATAAAGGGCAGGGGGTTAAGGATAAGGATGATGCCCTTATCTTGGTCTAGGAGACAACAGTTAGGGTAACCTAGAACCCTGATGTGTCCTATGTGCAGATATGTAAGATTTTGCCTTTGAAAAGCCAAGAAGGGAAGAGTGTCCCCGTCCCAACTGCCCTCCTCTGGTAAATTTGGCATGACTCCCCTGAGCCCAATGGATAGCACCGAGCTGGACACCTTTTCCAGAGGTCCGCCTGTAATCACTGGAATTCTTCGAACTAAGCATCTACATTCCACAGTAATTCAGTGTGTAGGCCATACCTCATACCGATGTCTGTGTCTTTCTTCTATAAAAGGGACATCACCATAAAGTTTCCCTGTAAAGATACAAGAGTGAAATTAATATCAAAGTAATCAGCTTTGGAACCACATCCAGAGCATATGTGTGGAGGATGTCTCTTTGACCTCTAGCCATATATCGGAGGCCTAAAAATTACCTGGACTCCAGATAGTCATCTAGATTTTCTTCTCTTCCAGTACAGAACAGCAATAGCTTTTGGAAACCCTGAAGCAATTCTCAAGTAAGCCATCAGCACTGCATAAAGGGAAGCCCTCTGTTATACAAGTCCACCATGAAGTCCAACAGATGGGCTGTCCTTTTCCACACCTGCCTGCACTAAGTACTGAGAGGCGGAGTAACATCTGAGCACCGTGGCTCCTGTGCAGACTCCTAACAGGGCTCATTTTACAAAAGAAGAAAATGAAACCGAAAAAATGGAAATGAAACTGAAGGACTTGCCCAAAGCCCCGCCCACTGGCAGCACAGTCCGATCTTGAGCCCAGGACCCCTCACACCTGGTCCGCACTTGTTCCACCACACCAGCTGCCTCTGTGTACTGGCCAAATTGGTTTACACCCTGCCTTAAAAATATGCCTGTCCTTTGACTCTAAAAATTTGGCCTCTAAGAATTTACCCCTGAAAATAGAAACGAAGACAGAGAGTTCACCACGAAGATGTGCACTGCTTCGTTCTTTAACAGCGAACAACTGGAAACAAGCTGAGCACCAGGCGCAGAGGAGTGCTGGATTAAATGAGAGCACATCTATACCAACAGCTCTTAACCAGGAGTGCGTGGCTGGCGGTCATGTGTCGCTAAAGTGTGCCCATGT